CAGTGAGACAGCAGTGGAGCTGCTGGCTGCTCTGATGCTCCAGTGACGCTGTGTGGCTGCATCAGCGCGTGCACCGCGACAGCCCTCAGAGACGCTTTCTCTTCCTCGCGCTGCCGTTTTCTTCATCACAGTGGGTCTAACGTACAGCGCCACAATGGAGACTAAACCGGTCATCACCTGCCTTAAAACCCTCCTCATCGTGTATTCCTTCGTGTTCTGGGTACGTAACCATTTTCTTTTTTTGGTGTGTGTGTGTGTGTGTGTGTGTATAAAGCAGCGGAAAATGATCGCAATCCATCCTAATCCACCGCTGCTGCTCTCTCTTTCTGTGTGTGTGTGTGTGTGTGTGTGTTTGTCGTGCATTATGAAGGGTGGACAGTCATGCCGTTGTTTAATACATTAAACGCGTTGCGGTCGACAGTGCTGGCTCAACGCCGCCGCTTTCTGCGTTTAAAGATGTGAATTATAAAACCGTCTCCTGCCAGCCGTGGAGCTGGTGTTCAGGTTACACGTATTTTTGGCTGCTGGGCGTCAGTGGTGTGAGCGTTTTAGCACACATAGCATCGCGGTTGTTGTCGGTGGAGGATGTTCACATCACCGCAACGATTGAACTCCGTCTGATTCATCCGCGGGCCTGCTCTGTTTCATAAGGCCCGTTTAAAGCCCGTTTTCTGACCACCTGCTGTACATTTTGGGCCCGTTGCTATAGATTCTTAAAGGGACCTCGCACCCCCAGTATATGTAACACCCATTGGTCCCTATAGGAGCACCTGTTTATAAGTCCACTAACACTTGTACTACACTATCAAATACAGCAGGGCTGCAGTAAATGCCTGCTATGATACTTTAGTCCAGGCTGTTCTCTGTGGTGCTGTTTTAATGTACAGTATTGGATTGAAGGTGAAGCCACAACAAGTTATTTTTAATGATTTATTAATCTGCCAAAGGGTTTTCTCAGGTTTCGATTAGAAAATAGTTTTTTTTTTTTTAATTAGATGATGTCTATGAGTGTCCTTCTTCTTCAGTTTACTATACTGTAAGACAATAATATAAATAAAAGCATTAAATCCTCACATTGGATAAGCTGAAACCAGAGAGGGGTTTTTGTCATTTTGCCTGATAAATAACCTAAATGATTAAATCAGAATCGTTTTTTTTTTGTCCACAAAGAAAAAAACAGAGGCAGTTAGCACACAACCAAATCTCGTAAGCTCCCGGTAGTTTTGGTTGATGCAGAGATTCAAACTGCAAGCTATTCATCAGGCAAACATCCACATGAACAAAAGGCAGAGGCAAATCTTTACAGGCATAAAACCATGACAGCTCCACTTGCAATTAGCATGTCACATGATGCAAAATAACACCCACGTATCTTTTGTGTGAAGTCATTCAAGTCATTTTTTGGGAGCTTGCCGTGCGTGGACTACCTCTCCTTTTTCTTTGTATGCTGGTTTTGTCCTGCACCTGTAGCCAGCAGGGGTTGGACGCGTGCACCGTCCTCCATCTCGGCTTGATAGTGTGTCCACCATATTTACATGCTGCACAACGGAGGAGCAACAACATGCAAAATGATATACAACACAGCTACCAAAGAGTTGAATCACTAGGGTTTTTGCAGAGGTCTTAAGCTGCAGCGCCTCACGCTGATTCGGAATGATGAAATGCTATGTTCGCAATGCAAAGCAAGCAGCGTGTAACAACAGTGGTTTGAAGAATAGATTCTGCCCTTACTTTCACTGTGATTAGGGCTCTTTGTAGGAAGTGCCCTCAGGATTCGAGGCAGCGGATCACTCAGAAAGCATCTCTCAAACCAGATGTATTTGGTTGAGACTGCTTTCAATTTCGGGATAAATGACTTTGAGATTAACTTGAGAAATGGAATAGTATCTCTTCTTCCCTGTGGTTTGGATACGCCTTTTTTTCTAGCCCTAACCCTAACCCTAACCTTTGGATGATTGACTCCTGATATATGACCAATCAATCAAAAAAACCACATTAACCATAATCACAATACTGTGTGACTAACTGACTAGTTTGACTAACTCTCTTTTTTTTTTACTTATTATTTGTGGGTTTTAGGCTCCGGCCTGTTTCTAAGATGTGATAGCAGCCAGATGTAGCCTGCGTAGGATTATCCAATAAGAACACGTGGAATAGATAAATGTGTCCATAATGTGTTTAGGACCTGAAGAAGTACTTTCTCTGCATTCACTCTGAACTGCAGGAAGTGAACGTTGCTTAAATGCTGCAACCTGGCCTTGAATAAAACCTAAAGTAACTCCTCAGAAAGCCGTGGTAGAAACACAGAACTGAAATCAGTTTCAGTTCTGTGTTCACGAAGGCTTAAAAAAAAAACAGCTGTGTGTGTCTCCCTGCACTGCAGACATGTGCCCGTGCCACTGATATGAACTTTTATATTTAGTCTGGATTGGACTGTCTCTTAGTGCTCCCTTTCCATCTACAGCATCAGGTTTCAGACATCTAAAGTGCACAAGTGTCTCACAGCTCAGCGGCTCTCTCTTCAACCCCGAGGGTGAAGCAGGGAGAGGTTCACTGGCACACAGTTCCAAAGCGAGAGAGCTGCCTCAGTGTCAGCCAGGCCTCGGTTTCACTGTCATCAGCCTGTCGCGGCAAGTCACGTCTTAAGTGCGAATCGCTACGTCGCCGTACTTTAACACGGGCGCACGCAGGGCGGCTAAAAGCGGAGCAGGTGGCGGAGTCTGCGTGGTGTCCTCGCCAGCATATTTTGCCATCGCACCTTCTGTTTCTTTATTAGGGCCGGAGGAGGAGGAGGAGGAGGAGGAGGGAAGAGGGGTGACCTGTTTTAAACCCTGTGCTGTAACCAGGGTGGCCGGGCCAAGCATTCAATTTCAAACAAAAAAAAACATGCAGGAGGGGGGCCTCCTCCGCTCCAGGGAAGAGGAGGAGGAAGAGGAGGAGAAAGGGGACGCTGAAGCTGTTTGGGATTCAGCAGACGTGAAGTCTAGATGACTTGCCCCTGCTACTTGGACTTGATTTCCCCGTTGGCTTTGAAATGAACAGTGTAGCATCGACGAGGTGATCCTTTATTTGTATGCCACAGCAGCTCTTAGGGGTCCAGACATTTTGCTGCTGATGATATTACAGTGAGTACATCGTCATCTAGAGGACGGCTCTGGCTGCTAGGATCACTGTCGGTAGAAACAGCAGATGTCATTACTGACGAGTCAAGTCATCAGCCCGCCGTCCTTCAGTTCTGATGATGGGATCTGTGACGTTAGAGCCGCAGCGATTCATCGATTAGTTGATTTACAATGGATTTCCTTTGAGAAAACACTGACATTCCTCTCTATGAGTGAGGGGCCACAGTAAATGAAGGGCAGGTATCTTGATCTGGACTCAACAAGACATCAGAAGAATCACTTTGGGCTGTGCGAAATTCTTTTTTCACAATCTTCTTAGTCTGATCTGATTTTATAGATAAAACAACTGATTCACTGATAAAACAGTCAACAGATGAATCGATAGTGAAAACAGTCAGTTACAGCCCTACTTTACAACATATTACATTAATGTGGTTGAGCACTATGATAATATATAGATGTAGATTTTTACCTACTGTTTGTACCTCAGCACCTGAGCATTTATTCATCCGCGTGCGATAATACGCGTTTATACAACATAAAAAAGAAATACCTTGAGAAATTGCATCCCGTAGAAAACCGCAAAACCGTTACGGCCTTTGGAAAATATCATCCAGGCGTACAGCAGCCACAGTGGAACAGGAAACAACAGGATGAGGATGCACATTACAAAATCAGACAAACGTCTTTAAATAGAAAGTGTAGTGGCTCTCAGTTCTCACTCTGTGGTTCAGCTCCGTCAAATGTCTGAGGACTTCTCACATCTAACTGCCCACAGATCCTCAATAACACGCTTTTTTTTTCTGATTTTGTTTATGTAATAGAAACCACAGTTACAGCCGTAGAGCCATTGTTAAGAGATAAATACATTAGCAAAATGGTGGCAACCCAACAACAGTTCTGGTAATCAGTCTTTTTAAGCCAAAAAAACTGGTTACAGTTTCTCAAATGTAAGCATTTAGTGGTTTTCTCTGTCTTCTATGATAGTAAACTGTAAACTGTGTCAACTTGGGCTTTAGGGAATTGTGACTATGTTCTAATAATTTATAGACCAAATCACGGAATGCTAATGAATCCAGTCATTCGTTGCAGCCTCAAACCAGCGTGTGTCTGATTTCAAACTATAGTTTTAGCTTAGGCTTTCTTCAGGAGCCGCCATTCACTGTTACACTGTGTGTGTGTGTGTGTGTGTGTGTGTGTGTGTGTGCGTGCGTGTTTTCTCTCACTGTAACCCGTCTTATCATCTCACCCACGCCTTCAACTCTCTGTCCCTCGTGTGTCATACTGTTGATTCATGTGTGGATGTCTGCATGCGACGCGATCCGGTTTCTCACACAGCCGCTGTAAAAGATACCTTCACACGGCCCTCGCTGCGTTTAAGGCTCAAATGACTCCTTGCATTTGAGGTTACACTGCAGTCGCATTCGGAACAACAAAGCAGTTAAGGGCAGGGTGGCCAGAGACCGGGGATCATTAAGTGCACACCTTGCCAGCAAAGTGTAAATATTGTTAACACGGTCATTAACCTACAGAGAGTAGTTTAGGCTACAGTCAGAGAGGGAACATGGCGGCTGTTTTTTGTATTGTGGGCAATCACTCAGGCCATAGGACACTGTCGACTAATTGCAATTGAGTTGGAGCGTTTATCCGAACAGCAAAAACCCATGTCTTCCCAGCGCTGTTTTCAGTCAAACTGGACCATTTCCTGCCGAGAGCTATTTCTTCTCATTGGTTTCAGAGGTTTCAGGGCGCACAGACGGAGACATTTTGTACAGGCTGCTCCCGCTCTAACCAGAGGGCCTGGCAGCGGGACGGCGAGCGGCCTCTCCTCTTGGAAGGAAGCAGGGCAGCGTGATGAGTTGGCCCTCGCTTAGAGTCAGATCATCAGCAGCCGCTCCACACCCCGCTCTCCCTCTTCCCAACGCCGGCAAGACATGCCCAGCTGAGACACACGCCGCTTCAGCTGCCTCGTACAACGCGCTCTTTTATCCGCAGCCTTCATTTGAAATGCTAAGAGAGGCGCAACAGTAGGAAGCGTCTCGCCTCGGATCAAAGAGCTTCTTTGACGTGTCCCCCTTTCTTTTCCTCTGTGTGTGTGTGTGTGTGTGTGTGAGTGCAGGCATATTCATAAAGCAGGTGATCACTATCCCGCACTCCAGATACATTTGTGTCTTCTGTCTCTCGTCTCCTCCTCCTTACTCTAATTGCTCTCCTTTCTTGTTCCACCTTGATCCTCTTCCTCCTCCTCCTCCTCCCCTTCGCCACGCTGCTAAAACGCAGCTATTGTAATATCGCAGAGGTGCCGAGATAAAGGCCCGTTCCCTGCTTTCATTCTGTTCCCTGTGCTCTCTCTGTTCCATCCATCTTTCCAACTCCCGCCCTCTAGATAACAGGAGCCATCCTGCTGGCAGTGGGAGTATGGGGGAAGTTGATGCTGGGCCCGTACATCTCTCTTATAGCCGACAACTCCACCAACGCCCCCTACGTCCTCATAGGCACCGGGACCGTCATCATCGTTTTTGGCCTGTTCGGATGCTTCGCCACCTGCAGAGGAAGCCCATGGATGCTGAAGCTGGTGAGAGGCTGTAGGAGGAAGGGTGGGGTTTGTTTTTTTTATGCTGCAGGGTGAGAGAAAAGTGTTGTGGATGCTGATTAATTAGCCTCAGGTCACATGATAGAGGGAATAATGGCTGACCTCTGTCCTGTTGAGAGGGATCAGAAATCCAATAGATGCCGCAGGACACTTTGTTCAGTTAATGGTGGTCATGTGAGTGTGTTTGAGTGTGTGTGTGTGTGTGTGTGTGTGTGTACGCGCACTCGTGTGTGACTGTGTAACCATAAGCAAATGATACTCATCTAAAGCAGAGGGTTTTTATGCAAACTATGCAAATGTCCCTCTTGTTCCTTTCGTTTCTGTAGTATGCCATGTTTCTGTCGCTCGTCTTCCTCGCCGAGTTAGTGGCTGGGATCTCTGGATTTGTGTTTCGCCACGAGGTTTGCACGCAACACGCCATTTAACAACTTTTTAACACTAAAGCTGTATAAAGAGGTCTTATGCTGTCAACGTGTGTAATCGTGTGCGTGTGTTTGCGTGCTCCAGATAAAGGGGACCTTTCACAGGACATACACTGACGCCGTCCTGAACTACAATGCTGAGGATGAGGCGAGCCGTGCTGTTGATAATTTGCAGCACAAGGTAAGTCCCTGTGACACAATATTGTTCAACAGCTAATAAATGCATCGGCAGCAAACCAAAACACAGCTCTGAAAGCTAAAGGTTTGCATTTTTTAGAGGCTAACACCAGCAATTCTGCATATTGTCAACACATCTCATGAATAGACAAAAACAAGAATTAATGTATGCTACGAATACATCAGACCCTGATAGAGCTTATTTGTCCCTGCCATAGAGCTCCATTGTTGTCCAAAAAACACATCAATGAGCTACACCACTGGTATTGGTGACATATTCCTTCATTACGGTGAACAGGGGAAATGTCATTTATTTTGTATCATTCCCACAGACACGCCTTGAATACTCCGTAGCGCCCCAAATACGTATTAAACCGCAGCTGAAAATGCAAACTCATGTTTGATTAGTGTTACTAAACTGCCATAGTTACTAACTAGTGTTAAACCACAGTGCCCAGCTGTTGAAAAAAAAGAGAACTACATATTTGTGACTCGGTTTAACATATTTATGCCATCAATACTAACAAATAATGGTTGAGTGCAACAGACAAGATGGGGAAGTGAGAAACCATTCAGAAACAGACACATTGTTTGTTTTGGTCTTCACATGAGATTTGTTGACAATAAGAAAAATATAAAATAATGCCTTAACCAATGCTCTCTCTTTTTCTGTGCGTTTTAGCTGCGTTGCTGCGGAGTGTATAACTACACCAGTTGGTTTGGCAGTGTGTATTACCCATCCAACGGCATTCCTGCCAGCTGCTGCTTTAACTCCTCTGACTGCAACCCAGAAGACCTCCGTAATACAACTCTAGCCCCAAGCAAGGTCTACCACCAGGTCAGTATGTTATGTTCTGCTGCTAGGTACTTCATGTAGTTTACGAATGCTTATAAAGACTGTATTTACATGTGACAGGTGCTCACTCACCTTTTCAAACCCTCTTTCAAACACTAACAAGATACTCTCCCAGATATCCATCTTGCCCTTAATTTGCACATATAACATGTCCCAGTACCCTCTACAAACTAACCTGCCCCCTATATTTCAGGGATGCTATGAGCTGGTTACTTCTTTCATGGAAACCAACATGGCCATTATTGCGGGAGTGACGTTTGGGATTGCCTTCTCACAGGTAAGAATTGAAAAAATGTAATGTTTTGCAGGTGATGGGGGGCAAATAAAAGGGGGCAAGTGTAGTGTTTTAGCATCAATAAATGACGTTAAGAAAACGTAACAATACTAAAGGGAGAAAGGAGATACTCGTAGCACCATCATCATCTTACAACAGGAATGAGTAGGTTTCACAGGAAATGATGTCTTGTCCAAATATTTTTGAACCCCAAACATAAAATAAACCAAATCCCCTTTCTGTCTGTCTTTCAGCTGATTGGCATGTTGCTGGCCTGCTGTCTGTCCAGGATCATCACAGCCAATCAGTATGAGATGGTCTAGCTGATGTGACGTGGCAGGTGAGAAATATTTAAAGATGCACACACACAAAAGCAACCACACACATTTAAATGTTCTCTATGTAACTTTCAGAAAACCATTGTTAATCATGCCAACAGTGGCTATTAAGTGAACTGCAGTCAGCATCCTGTTGCTCGCAGTCACACTCCATACATAGTCCATAGGCTCAAGTGAGCATCGTCCTGGGCATCCAAAAGTGACATACACTAGACTGAACGCTGGAAAATAAATTACAGTCACATTAAGAATAATGTTTCCTACATTTTCTTGGACCATTGACTCCATGCTACAAACTAGGTCGCTGTTTACAAATCACCCCATTGATTGTTATGTCACCGTTAGTTTTGTGGATCACGTTAGCTGGTGAAGTAATTTTGCTAGTTAAGTTAGCCAACTAAAGTATCGCCTCAGACAGTATTTCGACGTAGCGATAATGTTAGCGAGCAAGAAAATTAGCCAGCCAGCTGCAAAGCACCCTGCAACGCCGGCCGATAAAGTAACCTGCAAATGGCTAGCCAGATCAGCCCTGGGATTATTTTCCTATATTAGCTAGCTAGCAATTTGTCAGCGTTAGTAAGCTAACATTAGCCAGCTAAAGATACAATATCACAATAGATTTCAAAAGTTCAGTTCAGTAAAGTTTTGACTTTTGGACTTATATATAAACGGTGTCACTCGTAGTGACAAGCTTACACCAAGAATTATCACCAACTTCCACTTAACTATACAGAGTGTTTTAGTGTCTTTCAGCACAGTGTTTTGGTTTACTATTTTGTTTCAGCCTCAGTTGAAGCTGCTTTTTTCTGCAGTAAAAACTTGTTAAACTCAGTGCACGCTACCTGTTTAACACCAAACAGCAGATAGACAAAGTTAACTAGCTGGTGAACATAGTGGAGCATGTAGCTAAAGAGCCAGAAACTTTCCTTTGGGTGTTGGTGGAGACCAAACAAAGCTAAAAGGAAAGCCGGTATTGGACTTACATACGCCAAATCGCTAAATAAACAAAAATGTTAATTTATGCTTGCTGGGTGTGTAAATAGGCAACTGTTTGCTAACATTTTTGTCATACAGTAAAAAATGTCGTGTTTTTATCTTGTTCCATTTCCCCCAAGTAGCCAAACAGTCAATGACTGCAGGTTAAAAGGTCCAAGGATCTATTGGGAAATATAAAATTCATCAGTATGTTTTTATTAGTGTATAATCACAAAACATCGCAAATCCAAATATTGGCTGTAAATAGGGCCTTTCACGTTTTTCACTAGTTTTTGCAGCCACCGTAGTTTCTCCTTCATACTTCACAGCCCGTTCTAATTCCCAGGTCATCAAATTCAGATGCGAGCGGTGTTCAGTTAGTCAACAATTTCACCGCTAGATGCTGCTAAATCCTACACAGTGGTCCTTTAATTCATACACATTTAACTCTTCTTTATTTGTGTTTTTGTCTTTTCAGGGAGATGAAGAGAAGAAGAGACAAAGAGCCTTGACACATGACAAGAGTAAATTCCCAAAACACTATCACATGTCTGTATTGGAATTTACCTCCCTTTGTCTCTCTGCCTGTGATCTTAATGTAATATCTTAATGTATCTTATTGTAAAGCACCATTCCTTTACTCACCGCTGTTGCATCGAAACGTTCTATACCACACATCACACTGCTGCTTGATGTAGAAGTTGCTCGTTAGCACATATCTCCGATCAGTACAGCCTACAACGTACAACAAGCAGGTAAACCAGAGTTGTCTGAGCGGTGTTGGTCTCAGATAGGCGATTGGGTGCAACTTGGCTTTTCAGTTGGTTACAGCATGCTTCACCGACCGTCATCAGAGGACCACTGCACATCTTTGTACAGATTGACATTACTAAAGCTTGAAAGTAATACTTTAATAGATAGGTTTAGTTTTGCATTTGACTTTGCTATGGCTCACCATTGTATATTCCTATGGTTGTGACATTTTGTGAACTGATTATGTGTACTGAGGATGATATTTTAAGTTTATAGGAAAAATAAGGAAACTAATGAAAGAGAGAAAAGGGAGAGTTGTTTTTTAATCTGTAGACAAGACACAATATTTTTTTGACCTGATTATTTAAGTCAGTGGCAGATTATGAGATACGCTACATTTTAAAATTCTAATTCAGTATCAGTTAAAGCTTTAGTCTGGGGTAAATACACAAAAACATGGATTCAAAATGAGAAGCTTTACTGTCAGAATCCCCCAGTAACTTTACACTTCGGCCAAATTTACAGCCTTTACATGCACTTAAAAAATGACTCGAGTGGTTTTTGGAGGGAAGTAAATTTAGTCATCAAGTAAAACAAACAAATAAGGTCAGTTGTGGAACAAATCTGTTACAATGTAAACTGGCGGCCAGGTCACACCAGAAAAGCATGTAGTCTCGACAGTAAGGTCAAACAGTTTATTCAAAAGATGAGTTGTATCATCAGCTCCTGTCTCATAGCTGTTTGGAGCAGTTTATTCTCCAACAGAACAAACAATCGCATAAAAACGGAAGCTGCAACACAGTTAATAAGCTACTCCTCAATGTTAGCGCTCTGTCCCCTTAAAGGTCAGTTCTGTTAATAAAACCAGATTTCATTCAAATCTATTGAATTCGACACACAATTTTGCAGTTTTAAATGCTGGTGTGACCTGGCCATTTCAGGCTCTCAATTAAGCCCCTAACACTCAATTATCTTTAAATTCGTACGGCAAATGTGTCTCTGTTTCGACCAGCCACGCTTCAAGGCCAGGTGAAAAACTTGCTGTCACCTTAGTGAGCGTTGAGATGCAATGAATCATACAAATGAGGATAACACTATCGGACAGGTTGTCCTCAGAGGCATTCATTGTCGGATAGAAAGTGACAGAAGACGTTGTGTGGAGAATGAAGACCAGAGATTGTGGGAGAAATTTAAATCCTGCCAACTTTTACACCTCCACACACCTGGCCAATCTAAAAAAACTGACTCAATCGCAAAATCTCAGGATTTAGCTTTAAAGACCCACTTAACCAGCTGAAAGAGACACAGAAACAGATTAAAGTTGACCTTGTTGCAGTGATGTAGAGGTGTACCTGACATCACGGTTGGGGTGTGGTTACAGGTACAAAACCAGGATTCTGGGTGTTAACAGGCTTAGACATTTTCAACCACAAGAGGTCAGTGAAACACGGATTTTCAGCCCGTTAAGGTCATATCAAATCATTAGGGTGATGAATTGTTTTCTTCTGGAGGAATATCATGCCAGCTGTGTGTTACAGTGAGAGAAGTAGACATTAGAGATACGCAGGACTCCAACAGTGTTCATCTAGTATTTACAGTATTCTATGTAGTGCATCAACATGCCATCATCATCATCATCATCATTATCTGTAGATATTTATTGGAAATGTAATTTATATAATGTAATGTTTCTCATTCTAATACGCTAATCAGTATAAATGTTGTGTCACAGTTTTGATTCCGCACTTTGTGCTGTTAATCTGTATTTGTTTGATAGTTTATAGAAAAATCGCACTGAAAAAAATTATTGTGGCCAATGTTTTGTTGAGAGTAACGTGCAACATGTAGCTGTTTCAATTTAGCTGTATATTTATTATGGTTTGGTTGGCATTGCGTTTACAGTTTCACCAAGTGATTTTCTATCTCTCTTTCTGTATGTGTGTGTGGGATTTTGTTCTTTATTTGTCTCCTTTACCTTGAGTGTGTATTTTCCTTGTATGACAAGCTGTGTGTGTGGAGAGAGAGTGAGAGAGAGAGAGCATCTAGATTTCGTGGATCCTGTTGTATTCAATTTTGGTCAGTATTTGGTTGTGGCTTTTCCAACCTTATTGCTTTTAAAGCTGTACATTTATTTAGTGAATGTATGTTTTCCAACACTTTGAAACCTATTTCTTCTTCCCCAAACTGATATTGTCCTGTAAATACTAAATTGTAATACCATCCTGCTTACACATGGGGTCACCAGACACTCAAAAAGAATTGCACCCTGCTGTCTACTATTGACTAAGTCACCATCAGTGGTCTTATTATCAATAAATATATAGAATAACTGTGTTGTTTAGCGTTTGTTCATTTCGCTATGATGGAGAGGGCTCAGTACATTTTAAATGTAGAGTCAAACAGGTGTCCTATTACATCTGTTTACCAAAGCTGTATGCGAGTGTTGGCCGTCCTGGTCTACATTTCAAATGTTTCTACAAGACGGATTCTGAAGTTGAAACCCCTGTTTAATAGGAGACTTTACTACAAATGGTAAAGCTTCTAATAACAGTATATTTTATTGATTTATACGCTGTTTTATATCTTGGAAAAGTTATAATTTGAGCTGTTTCCACACAGTAATCAGGACAAATTATATTTTTAGTTTTAAGATTAGTGACAGAAGAGGTCAAGTCAAGGGTTAAGGCATATTGAGAGCTGGCTAAGTTGTGTGGATAAAGGTATGTGTGGGTGTACATCTAACTATAGGACTTGAGTCAACAAAGAACATCAAGTACGACTTACAGTGAAGTGATTTACCTCTGCTCAACCGAGGGCAACAACATTTTTTTGTAAATGAATATTTGCTGCTAAAACAAAAGTCACCTGCTTGACCTTGAGTTGTTCCCTTTACACCACCTATCAGTGTGTGTTCTGACATTATATAATATTTAGGACAACAAAATTAAAGTCAACAGACAGGAAGAGTCTCATGTATAATAAAATAATTACATACTTTTATCAAACCGGCTATAAATACACAATTCCACAATTAAACCTGTGTTATCATATAGGCCTAGCAGTGAGCTCTGTGTTACAGTGCCGTGTCCCTGAAATATCCTGATAATGAGAAACTGAACAAATACCTAGGTTTAAAACCTTCACAGACATTCTCAAAGTCAACAGAAACACAACAAACAATGGATGCTGGGTTAAATTAGGCAAATGGCCCATTTTAATTAGGAGGAGACGATGGAGAGAATTTCCCTCATTCCAAAACGGACAGGCATGCGATAGATGTGGTGGGAGATTATCTGAGTGCCTTGAGCAACCTAAAACTGAGAAAGACAGATTGACACTGTAATTCAGACTGCGTGACCACAAGCTGCCATTGAGACAGACAAACCAGGAGCAACACGGAGAAAACAGACAGTTCTGCCAAAAGGAGGTGAGGACAAAGGAACCCTTTCTGCTCCACTGCAGCCTGTGTGAACACATAGGACACAAGTTTTTGTTTTACCAAAATAAAACACAAACACCAAGAATTTGACACACTTTCAGGCCAAAACCCAAATTCACTGCTCATTTGAGAAAACAATGAGTTTGCCTTGAGAAGCAGACCGAGGGGAAACACAGCAGAAAAGCACATGAAACTCTACTCCTCCTTTTATCATATAAAGGCCTATTATTTATTTTCTACTTCTCAAAAGAGAAGAAAAAAAAACCCATTATATTTTCTAATTATTCTTCTATTGTATTTTTTGTTTTGAATGAACATCCACCGAACTTGCCGAGGCCGGTGCACCTAATGACATCACTGAGTACCACCCTGGTCCACATGGCGGCGCTTGGGTATCAGCGGAAAACGGAGCCGTGGAGAGAGAGAGAGAGAGA